CGCGGAGAAAAACTTGCGTGGAGAAATGGAAAAATGTGTAGTATAATTCAAAAAAGTTGCACTTAACAAGTCTGCATGTAAAAAGGAGGTTGTTTGAGAAGAAGGGCGTTGGACTGGAGTGGAGAGTGTTAACAGAAGGGTCGCACTGTTTTTTTGATAAAAATTTGACATTAACTAAATTCAACTTTTCAACATTAACTGGTAGTCCTGTACCGCATAGTTGTTTGGCTCTTGTACTTTATAATAGTCTTTTTACTAAATCTAGAAAAGTTTCAGTTTTGAAACTCTTTTGCCACAAACAGGCTGATTTAATTTGTGTTACTTATTAAAAATTTAAAATACCCGAAAATGTTGACGGTGTTATGTCATTTGCTGCAAGTTTTCAGATTGGAGACCTAGTATATGTCACTTCCGCTTGTTTATAAGCTCAGATCGGTAACGGGCTTGTGAAAAGCTGTAGTTTACTAAGGACTCTGTACTTCACAACTGTTTCTATTGGCACTGCAAGATGCTCGCCATACTTGACTTTTATTCGCTTTTATTGAAACGAGGAAATTCTATCAGTATTTTAATCATATGCATAAACGTTCGTAAGTTACTTTCAAGGTCGTATTATTCGCGGACATATAAGCTACTATATAAGCTAAGTTTTTTAGAGCTTAATTTTATAAAAGTTACACACTTTTCAAAAATATGTTTGGTACAGACCCAGCGTGTTTTACATCAGCTACATCAGCCTCTAGCTACTGGCAAAAGGCGTTTTCTTTAGGAACTGAATTGCACTGTATCACGCACCCAAACTTCAAGAAAAGTTAAGAATTTGACTTTAAGTAATTTGAGATAGGTTATAAAATAAATTGTTCACCTCTATTAGTACATTCAGCTACTATGACGTTTAAAGCGTTCTCATTTGTACTGTAAAAGTCATACTTAGCTTTTAAGCTAGCAACCAGGAAGCGTTCCTGAATAACTAAAAAGTGACTGCTCTCAAAATGATCATTTATTTACTTTGGACTAATGGCTGGAAATTTTTTTGTTTGGTAAGATACTGAAAGTTTAAAAAAATCACACTGTTCTGGAACAGCGATATCTTTGATTTTAAAAACATTGTTAAACAAACGGTAGAATACAAACAAGTAAAAACAAACGTGGTCTTGAATTAAAATAATAGATTTTACAGACTTCTTCATTACAGCAACACTGAAATGGCTACTAGAAGACATAGGAATAAAACAAAGATATTAGAGAAACATATTTTTACAAAAAAAATGTGCATTTACATCTCTACAATCTTTCTCTCAAACTATTTTTTATCTTAAATCAATTTCTTATGCCACTTTGTTCTAAACAGCAAAGATAAGTCTAATGAATTTATTCTAAAAGTTTGAAAATAAATACGCTTTACACAGGCGTCGCATGAGAATTGGAACAGTACTTAGGCACGGCACTCGCGGCTATCGATTCTCAAATAAAAAATTCGACATGATAATTTCTTGAAAGCTCTAGATACAGAATAGAACAATCTCAAGATCACCGTTTTATAAAAAACAATAACCTGTTCTTGCGGGGATACCAAACAACATTATTGACAAAAGAGAAGCTATTCTGCATTTATAAGTGTTGGGGCTTGAAGATTTTTGTGTTTATCACTTACAACTGCAGGAAAAACTGATAGCAAAGAAGATTTCAAAAGTAATGTTTTGAAATTGAATAAGATTTACTGGAATACTTCTCAAAACAGTAGATTACGACAGCTATGATAAAACCACTTTTGGTCAACTGACGTCACAAAATGGTGTCGTCCTCTTCAATATCGAGTACAGTTTCGTCAGCATGTGTTTTTTGCTTCGATAGCGTTTTTCTACGATTGCTTGAATCCTGAGATGTGCCAAACCTATTTAATTACAAAAACCACTATAAGTAGCGAGAAGAATAAAACCGTATAAAAAATTAAAGCTGACTTTATTTCATTAAAGAAAACAAAGTTTTTACAAGCTTGTTCCTTCGGGGATTGCTAGTGGTGCAAAATGAGTCTCGTTCGACGAAGTTTCTGCTACCTCAGAATTGCCACTGAAATTTATGGTATGTACAATTCATTTAAAAGTCAAAAAGTTAAATTTTTGCTTCTAAGATCGCTTTGCCGTAAAAAAAAATTTTTGCAGCCATTAGTCCATCTTTAAAAACTTTTGGTTTAGCTGTATCATCTTTGATCCCATAGCAAAGCACCATCCAGTAATAGCTTTAATTTCTATGCTCTTTACACAACTAAAGTAACTGCTTAAATTACGTCAAAGTCCTGTGATCAAAAGCTGTTTTTTTAACCGCTGCTGTCTCATTTACCCCAAACTAGTAATTGAAGTTTTTTTTGCTTTTTAGATGTGAGATCACGGTTATCAACCAATTTTTTAATCGCAGAATTTTTTGTTTCAAGTACACAAATTTTAATAGCAACGAATTTAATACACGTTCTATTTATATAACCAGTCTATATACCACCTGTCAGAGACTAAATTCTGAAGTGTATAATATTACGAACTATACACGTGTTCCCTTTGTTTTCACATGTGAAAACAAAGGGAACTTGTGTATATTTCGTAATATCGCCATTGTGCTGAAAAACCTTTTCTGCAAATATTCACAATCAACAAATTTTTTAGGTATTCAGCCTTTTGTCTAGCTAGAAACAAATAAATAACTGTAAGCAGAAATCACGTTCTGAATCTCGAGTGGCTAGTGAAAATGCCTTGAGTAAGAGAAAAAGCTTTAATTTAATATATAAAAAAAATATATCGTATACATTGACATAATTTTAAATTTTTTTAGGCTAAATGTACAATTCATGTGTATAAGAATCCCCATTCTAGGCTCTTTGGTCCAAAGAAAGCACTGTTAGACATATAAACATGTCTTGCTGTAATTTCAGATTTAAAAAAAATAATTGAAAAAAAATAAGTTGCTTTTTTGCTCCTCACGTTATTTACGCCGCAAAAAATAACTTT